TTCCTGTGTGCCCTAATGTAGGTGACCCTGCTCTGGCAGGGGGGCTGGACTAGATGATCTTTTGAGGTCTCTTCCAGCCCCCAACATTCTGTGATTCTGTGATCCTGGTTCTGTGCCTGTGATGGGGCAACGGTAGGTGAGCTGAAAGGTGATTATGAGGATGCAATTTTCACTTGCACCCATCAAAGTGTTGCCAAGCCCCAGGGAAGGAGGGTATCTCAGGTGGGATCTGTCCCGCGCTCTGGCCAGGGCTGATGGGGGTGCAGCCCTTGACACGTCTGTCTCCACTTCTGCCCTCTCCAGAGAGACAAATGCGGATGATGCAGTGGCTGTACCTCTCCGGGCTGGTCTTTTCTGCGCTGATCGCAGCAGGGCGGCAGATGGGACCCGAGGACTGGGATGACACATCCAGGTATGGGGCATTGGCCCGAGGAGAAGGCTGGCGTGGGAACAAGCCTCTTTCTTCTGTATTTATCCAGACAAGCTCCCTCCTGGCTCTCCACCAGCCCACGCAGGGCCAGTGACCTGTTCCCCCTCAGGGTTCCTGTGTCGAACCAGAGATGGGCTGTATGAGAATGCCCCAGCACGGGATGATACTTTGGGCACGGTGCTGAGCCTCAGGAGAAAAATCCTTTGGGGACCTTCCATCGTGAGCCCCAACGTCACGTCTCTCCATCCTGGAGCTGGAGGGGGGTTGATCAAAACCTCCAGGCAGCACCGCACTCCCTCCCCGGAGCAGCAAGAGGGGACCAGGGTGAAGGCACCAACCCAGCGAGACGTAGGGCAAATAATCTGGGGCAGGGTACTGCAAATCTTTGATGTCAAGAAGGACCCTGGCCAGGCTCAGCAGATCCCCCCCCGAAACTGAAAATCATTTTTATGGATTATTATAGCTTTTCTGCAGGGTGCTCCTCCGCACAATAAAGTAGTTTCTGGAGGATGCTCCACACAGCAAAGTACTTTAGAGGACATGGCTCCTGCCCTGGGTGGATGCATGATGCCACGATGCCCAGTAAACCACATTTTCTTCCCCATCCTTCTTTCCCGAGCAGGTGGCAGTCGTACAAACCCCAAAGCGCCCGAAGCGTTGCATCCAGCACCAAGAGACATTCGGAAGGGACCTTCACCAGCGACTTCACGCGCTACCTGGACAAGATGAAGGCCAAGGACTTTGTGCACTGGCTCATCAACACCAAGCGGTACAGGTGAAAATGCGAGAGGGGACGAGACCACGCTGGGAAGTGACGTCCCACCACGCCACGAGCCCCGATCCCAATCGGTTGCGGCTGTTTAGTTTTCTGCTGGGCTGGCGGGGGGTTCTTATTTTTGGCAGCTCCACAAAGCGGTACCTGAGGGAGGAGCCCCGCGGCGTCCCCTTCCCGGGCAAGGTCCTGCCATTCCTGTAAGTCACCCCAAACGAGACCAATTAAAATGGAAGAGATGAATAATTTTATGATGTAGATCTCGATGCAGAGGCAGAGTGCTGCTCCCTGTGTCCGACGCCGCTTCTCGCTGTCACCGGTTTTGATTTGCCATAAGAGCAAAGGGACGTGAAGCTGATTTTGGGGGGTATTTAATAGCTGGTGATGGGATGAGGCGGTTTTGTTCTCTCCACGCTTTGTTCTCATGTTTTATGCTTCATTTCAGCCTTAACGTGGGGGGATCATTTGCATTTCCAGGGATGTTGTCAAGTTTCGGTCTCGCCGAAGCCAAGATCCTTCATGAACAATTGCCTCAGAACCCCTGAAGTGATTTTAGGGGGAGCTTCTGTTCCGTGAAGCTGTTTGGGTTTTTATTTTTAAGGTACAATTAAATGGCAAATCAAGGCCTGGCTTTCCAGCAGCCTCAGCCCAGAATGGTTGACCCTTCCATGGCCGGCAGCGATCGGATGCTCCACAGGAAGGATTTATCCATCAACTCCCTCTGGCGTTTCCTGTCACCCCCTCCCATGGCTCAGCCTTCCCTTCCAACTGGGATGTAACCGCTCCCACCGTGCCATCGATCCCACAGCTTTTCCCTCAAGTGTCAATAAAAAGTTTCCTAAATCCAGCAGCTGGTTCCTGACGTCTCCGACCCCGCTGAGCATCCTGTCGGGATCCGGCGCCGCTGCCCCGGGGGTGTTGAGATGCCAGCTTTTCAGCTCTGCCTTGGCTCAGGTGCCCTGTTTTTCACTCAATTCCTCACATTTTTGGTAAAAGGGCAATCAGGATGCACCCGCCTGACCCCAGAGATCTGTGCGAGAGGGGATTTGGAACAAAATTTTTTAAAAAAAAGAAAAACCCCTATAGGAAAGGTAATTAGAACCTCGTTGGATTTTCAGCCAGCCGAGCGTACACCCTGAGCAGCCAGTTTCTCCAGGAGATTCCTGTGGGATACAGTGACAAAGCTTGACCAAAGTCCACGTAGACAACTTGCCCAGCCTTTCCCTCACCCACTCAGCGGGTCACCTTGTCACAGAAGGAGATCGGGTTGGCCACTAGGACCTGCCTCCCACAAACGGGCCTGATCTCCTGGCTGTCCTGTATGTGCCCCGTGATGGCACTCGAGGTGATCTGCTCCATCGCCTTAGCAAGCACCGAGGGCAGGTTGATGGGCCCGCGGCCCCCCAGATCCTCCTGTCGGCTCTTGTAGCCAGGCGTCACACTTGCTGCCCTCCAGTCTGCTGGGACCTCCCCAGTTAGCCAGGACTGCTGGTCAGTGATGGAAAGTGGCTCGGTGAGCACATCCACCACCTCCTCAACACCTTTGGGTGGATCTCATCCGGCCCCATGGCCTGAAAAAGAACCTACAGGGAGGCTGGGAGGGACTCAAGACACAAGAGTGTCCAATGACGGGACAAGGGGAAATGGGTTTAAATGGAAGGAGAACAGTTTAGATTGGATCTGAGGAAGAAATTCTTCAGGATGAGGTGGCCAGACTCTGGAATAAATTGCCCAGAGGGGCTGTGGCTGCCCCCTCCCTGGAGATGTTCCAGCCAGGTTGGACGGGACCTTGAGCAACCTGGTCGAGTTAAGGGGATCAGGGGGGTTGGGTTAGATGATGAGGTCCCTTCCAACCCAAGTCATTCTAGGATTCCCCCCAAATCAGCGCCGCCCACTCCCCCACCACCTCCAAAACCCCTTTAGAAATCTCCAAAGACGCCCCCAACTCCCTCCACCCTTCCAAAGACACCGGAGCGGCACAGCAAGACCAACAAGATGTTTATTGGATTGTTTTGCCGTGATGTTCGACGGGCGGCGAGAGGCAAATCAGCGGCCAAGGCTCGGGCGGGTGGAACCCGTCGGTCAACGCTTCACAGATGGGACCCACGAGACAGATTTAGGTGATTAGAGTCCCACAGGACAAACACAAAATAAATCAGATTTAAAAACAACAACATCAAAAAAACCCACAAAAACCACATACAAAGATTCAACGTGACAAACAACACAGATTTGCTTGATGGATGTTTTTTCCCCCCACCTCGGTTTTATTTACAACACAGACTCTTTCCAAACTAGATCATCTCTTACAACAAAATAAATGTATTTCAGCATCTCCGAAACAAAAATAATTTTTCCATGTAGCACGCTGGGCAAAAAAGAAAACAATAATTAAAAAAAAAAAAGAGCACCAGCACCTTATTTATTATCTTTTTATATCTTTTTTTCCCCCTCTTAGGGAGTCCATCTCACTTCATTTTAGGAAACAATTTTGGAAGGGCCCACAAGCGACCTGGAGAGCTGGTTTAAGGCACCGAAAACGAGGCAAACACCCAGCACCCACCCCACATCGGCGGGACGGGCGTTTCCTGCCAAGGGGAGGGCACTGAAAACATATTTTAGTTTCTTTTTAGTCCTAAAGCCACTCCAGAAACACGTTTGAGAGGGTTCTTCCCCCCAAAATAATTTTGCCCTGCCCAGGGAAATGTTAAATCCTCCCCAAATCAGGAACCATCGGTGGGTTTCTTGGGTCTGAGGGGGAAGCAGGAGGTTTTGTTCATTTTTCAGAGCTGGAGGGATCCAGGCACGTGCTGGAAACAAGCCCAGCCCCGGTCAGGAGGGAGCCGAGTCCAGCCTCTCCATCGGGAATAACAAATCGAAAACAAAGAAAAAGGGAAAACCAAAATTGCCCTCTGCGAGGAGCTCAAGAATTGCATCGTAGGGCCAGGGCAGCCCCAGGACTGGTCTCACAACCACCCAGCTCCACACCCAGTGCTCCTCCCTATAGGGAATTCCAGTTTCTTTTCCAAAGGGTGGAGGGATCCCGGCTCCCTGGCAGCGCACGGCCGTTGCAGGGGAAGAGCAGCAAGAAAACGCGGGCGCTGCACCTTCCCCTTCTGCCGAGCCTTTGCTTTTTGGCCTCCCCTCCTTTCTGAAGAGCTGAAGCAGCCTCCTCCCTCTCCAACAGTCACGCCGCCGCGCTGGCAGCCACCAAACTATCATGTGCAAAAAACCGTCCCGCAAAAACCATCAGTGCATGGGGGTGAGGGACTGGCAGAGGTTGCCCAGCGAGGGTGTGGATGCCCCATCCCTGGAAGAGCCCAAGGCCAGGTTGGATGGGGCTTGGAGCAACCTGGGCTGGTGGCAGAGAGGGGTCCCTGCCTGTGGGAACTTGATCTTTGAGGTC